GTTGGAGCATTTGTTCCTGGATTGTCGGGTGGCGCGTAACCTTTGGGGGGCAGCCGGGCTGGAACATGTTGGGGAGGGTCTGCCTAGGCATACTTTTCCTATTTTTCTGAAAAAACTGTTGGCTTTGCTTGACCAGCCTGCTCTGTTTATGGCAGTAGTAACCATTCTGTGGAGAATTTGGCGATCTCGCAATTGGGTGGTTTTTGAGGGAAAGCAGTATGGTGTGCCGGCCTTAATGCGCCAGTTTAGGCAGCAGTATGAGGAATGGGTCGATTTGCCGGTGAATAGGACTGTCCGGGCCCCTACGCCCATTGAGGATCAGTCTGCCCAGGGCGACCCAGCTAGGGTTATCTGTGGATGGGATGGGGCGACTCGACGGGGCTCCCATTCTGCGGGAGGGGTGGTGCTGATGGCCCCTGATCGGGTTGTCCTTGGGGCTGCGGGGTTTCAGTTCCCAGATATGGATCCCATGGTGGCGGAGGCTCTTTCTCTGCGGGAGGCGATCCGGTGGTGCGTGGGACAGGGGCTGGACAGCGTGCGCTTTGAAGGGGATGCCCAGGTTATCATTGACAAGATCCGGCGAGGGGACTCTCGTGATAGTAAGGGTGGTGCTGTGCTTGAAGAAGTGCTTCAGCATTTTATTAGGAATCCTGGATTTAGTGTTCGTTTCATTGGTCGGCGTAGTAATAGGGTAGCCCATTTGGTGGCTAGAAAGGCCCTCTCTTTGTGCCCGGCTATGAGTCGTAGGTTTGATTATCAGGCCTGGCTGAGATCCAGGATGTATTGATCTATTTGTTTCTTTAATACAAGATTATCTTTTGACAAAAAAAAAAAAAAACTAATAGACTTGTGAATATTTTAATTTTATAAGAATTTCAGTCACCCGTCTTAACTTCTAGAAATAAAGTGAAGTTAATAGTAAAGTTCACTAATTGCATGTTGCAACTTACATTAATTAATATAATAAGTAAAACTTTCTTTGGAATTGCATAATATATGTGATCATAGGAAATAGGAAGTGCAAAACAAAAATCATAAAATCTCACACACATGTTAGGATTGATAAACAAATTATTTTAAAGAAACCAAACATGTAGAACCCAACTAAGCTATTTACATCGGTATTAACGTTGATTTGCAAAAAAATATCAAATGAATAAATATCCAACATCGTTGGTTAAAGATATTGAATGAGAAACTTTAGACTATCGAGCTTATATGAGTACGAATTAATTTAGATGAGTCTATTCGAGCTTATATGCATCATATGGAAGATCGTAAGAGGTTGTAAATGAGAATGTGTAAAATTATCCCAACTCAAATCAGCTCAAAAGTGTTTCACCGCTTCTTATAAATTTGTATGGTATTTTGTAAGAAGCACGAATTTAGACGCGTACAGCTAGGGTTAGAGAGTTGAGAATTGCTAGAAAATTCGGGAAAAGAAGGATAGAATTAGGGATTTGATCGAGGGAGAAGGGGAATAAGAAGAAGGAAATTCGGCCACCCCTAGGGAGGAGGAGATCGACGGTTTGGGTAGGGAAAGAAGGAGAGAGGTTTGTGATTCTTGAGAGAGAGATTAGGTTTAGGGAATAATGATTTTGTTATTGCTTAATGAGAAAACCCCCACTCGTATAGAATATATAAGGCGAATAAATTCCCTATAACTGCCCCAATTTCTATCTAATACTCAACACATGGAAATACTTCCGAAAACCCCAAAATATCATCCAAAATCCATGAAACAGAAATAACAACAACCAAGTCCAAAATAGCAAGAAGGGCTATGATTTATGTTACTAACAATCTACCCTCATTGAGACAAATTTTGCCTTCAAGGTTGCTCTTACTTCTGCTGCACAGATTCCTTCACCTCCTCCGCCTTGCCTTCATCCTACTAGTTTCCCACCAACAACATCAAATGATCCTTGACACACTACCGATCACCCTACCTAAAATATCCCTCATACAGTTGCTCTCATATATACCTTCGAATTTAAAATAATGATTGAAATCAAAGCTTAAACTTTTATTATTATTTACGGTTATAGCTATTATATGCTTTTTTATTATGCATTTTTATTAAATATATCTCTCTACTATTTTTAGATCGAACAATACTCCTACACTTTGGAAAAATTATCAAACGTGTCTTCTGTTAAAATTTTCATTCATGAACCGTCAACCACGATCGAACCTTCTCAACTGGTAGGTGGTAGAGCGCTAGAGTTGTGCTAGAAACTCAATCTCGATTGAGAGATGACTGAATTCATATACCAGCACTATGAGGTTTAATATTTCAATTTGCTTTTTATTTTTATTTTCACTAGAGATCGGACTAGGGTTGGAGATGCAAAAAATAAATTTAAATTTCCTTTTTTTATTATTATAATTTTTAAGCTATTTTGATGATCAAAGATGATGATTGGCTCGAACTTATGATAGATTTAATGGAATTGAAAGTAAATGGTGAAATGAAGTTTAAAGTGATTGACTTGGGAAGAAACTTTTTCCAATTACAAACTGAGTGATCAAATGTGTAATTTAGCATGATACTATATAGCAGCTGCATATTGTGCGTTGGTTATGAATTAAGTAACCGGGCCGAGATAGAGGGAAAGAAAACATTATCTTAATTGGGCCTTTCAAGTGGCAGGGACTGCGGCGGCTTCAAAGTCAAACAATGACCTTTCTCCCTCTCGTTTGATTTTTTTTTTTTTTTGGTTCACAAAGTCAGCACTCCAAAAATCATCTTTAATTTTCGGCAGCAGGAGTCATCATTACGGAATTAACTTTGCCGTGCAGATCAGAGGTTTCTACTCTTCTGTCTTCACAAGTAAAGGGAATCAAAGTTACTTCTTGGAATGAGGCAAAAAAAATGTCCTCATAAGATAGGCTGCTGACTTGAAAACATTTATGAACCCACATAAGAAAAATGTGGCCAGTCAGCTGCAGCAATGCAGATCTGGTCTGGTATTTTCTTCATCCACGTCCACGGTCCAATAACTCAGGCTGGCTACTCGTCGCCACCTTCCCACTACTCCCACCGAGTTGCTTCATTGGCCCCAAAACCCCTCTCTCCACTCGTCCAAGGGAAGGATAAATATGATCAAAATACTCGTTTGCTCGTGGGATTAGAGTGATAGATTTGCCACCTGACTCCCAATCATTAAGGATTTGACACAAATTTTATTGTTTGTTAAGGGACATAAATTCGTGTGGCCTACGGATTTGGATCCCTTTTTTATATCACGAATTTGCAAATCCCACATTTCATTTGAGATTTGATAATGAAAAGTAAAATTGTGAGACAAATCCATCATAAATCCATGTTAAAAGTTAACTAAACAAACAATGTATTCTTCCAAATCCACAATGCAATAAATCCATCGTAAATCCAAAGATTTTTAAAACACAAAACCCTAATTATCAAATCCAACAAACAAACGAGCCCTCAATTTTTCAACTCCAAAGGCACCATCCCATCCCCCTATCATGTCAAAAGGTCACCTAGATGTTGTGTGATGGTTGATTATCTCGTCTTTTAAATATGAGATAGGTATTAACTCATAGTTCATATGAAAATAGACATCGCTTTGTTGCCAATCATTTATCGCTTTGTGCGTTTATCTATGAAGAGAAGTTAGCCACTGTTATCGACTACGAATGCTCTAATAATACACACAAATAAGTACTTACAACGTCTTCAGACGCTATTATTTTAGTGGAGGAATGATGATCAAACTTGTAAGGTTCATTTTTAGTAATTAAGTAGCCATTTCCTTACGTAAGTTTAATTTATTATTGATTTTAAAAGTATTATGTTCAAAATTCTTCTTCAAACTAATTATTCCATATATTTTATGAAAAAATATTCAGACTTGTTCTCAGACAGATAACTCATTGATGTAGCGATAGCAACAGCATGACACACATTTAAGATGATCGATTCTAATCAATGGAATTGCATTCCCCTCCTTAATTATCAGCCCTGTTCTAGGAACCGTACTTGATGTTTAACCTAGAAATTTAGTAGTTTATGATTAATAGTTAACCTTATAGAACCGTTGGTTGACCTTTCATAGAATTATTCATCTGATATAACATAAAAGACATATAAAGGACACTAAATTAGGATTGAATTTATTACTTGTCGCAAAGAATTTCAAATGCACATTATCTATCAACAAAATAAATCATAAAATATTTTATTACATTCAAGTTAGTAATTACAGTGGTAGTCAAAAGTTGACCTCTTAAAGCCAACACGGAAATTAGGAAACGAAGAAGAGGAAGCAAAAATAGAATTATAAATTAAGGTTGGATGGTTTTAGTTTTCTTTGAAAAGATCTTATTTTTTATGATTAAAATAGTACTAATATACCAGTTAAATCAATATAAGAATAACAGTAACCTACAACTTTGACTTTTATATATTAACTAGGTAGACCCGCTCGCGTTGCTTCGCGATGAACGAACAATGTGAAACAATGATAGGAAGAAAAGAAAAAAAAGAACAGGCTGCAAAATGGATTGAAGATGATAAAAGAAACATTAGAGGCTCTTACCCAACCAAATCGTAACCCATTGTTTGGACTGAATTGCAGCACCTGAAGTAAACACCTTATTATTTGGCCGACTACAATTTCGGCTAGTGGACAGTATCTCGGGATTTATGAGTTAGAATGATGCGAAAAACATCCTAATTGACATAATATATTGATATTCAATTAAGATAGCTATCGTCAACAACTCCCTTGACAATCACCTTTTACACGGCTCGAACAACACTGGATACAACAATATATAGAAGCCAAGAATTCTAAAAAGGAAGTGAAAATGGATGAGCGGGGATCAGGCATAGATTGAACTTCAGCTGATGATAATTAAACTACCTAGAAAGCAATTACAGAATTTAGTTAGAAATCCATCCCAAAAAAGCAGTCAAATGAACCTATCAAAAATCATATGTATGGCATCCATAGACATAAATGGATAGTAGAGGGTAAGTTCCATGTATTAGGGATAAATCTTTATTCATATTGACGTAAGTTTCCTTCTCCTACATGAACCTGTACAATTGTGGGTATAAATGCCCCTTCTCAATGTCAATACAAACACACGATTCACATTCTTACAGCTTTAATCCCGAAACCCTAGCTCTTCGTTGCAATCTAGAATTTCAGCGCCCACGATCAGCGTCGAGTCGCCTGCTGTCCAACATGTCCGACAACAGCTCGGTCACGTCAATACAAACACACAATTCATATTCCTTACACCATGGAGCCAACAGCTGGGCGCAAAAACAACCTATTGAAACACTATAGCAATTCAACTTACAGAATCAGTTGGAGTAACTATCATGAACCTGTGTTTATATATAAGGCAACATCTTACTAATCAAAAAGAAATTGATTAAAGGTTAAAGAAGAATTTATGAACTACACGACACAGGAAGTTCGGTTTCTTCATCCCATGGCAACATATGTTCATCGATTGAAAGAAACTGTGGATTGAGGAGAAATTGACATGAAAGACGGCTGCTTTAGTTTAATGAACTTTATTTTAATCCTCCTCTGTGATTCCATAATACCAATAAAACTTCTATTTCTATTCAATTACAGAATGCTAAGAAATTGAGTCCATTTCAGCCTAGAAATCTCACCAATTTAAATGTTGCAGAATAAGATGCTTACAGTTCAGCCTATAAGTCCTCAAATGCATACCTGCTAACCCAGGCATAAAAGCAAGCAATCTGATTTGTAATAAAGCTCTGACCTGACATTGTAAGCAAGCAAAGAGTTTTAGATATAAAGAGCCACGAATAGATGTAAACCTGGAGTTCATCAGTGTTCACTGAGCAGCTTAAGAAAGCATAATCAACCTCACCGAACCTCAAACAGAATGAAAATGGCAGTGCACTGTATGGGTCGAGCAAATAAAACAAAGAAAGAACATATAAAAGATTTTTAATGGGAAATAGCAATTATTATGAACGTGTAAACTTAGAGTTAATGAGAATAGTGCCAAGTCTAGCCATGGCATCCTGATAAGCTGATTTTTATCACCATCTCTCTAAGGTTACAAATTCAACACACAACAAAATGGCAGCATGCTGATTGCTGATACACCATGTTCATTCCTTGTCATATCTTGAAATGCCTTTTGCCAATTACTTTTTTCATTATTGGTCTTAGTGGCAAAAAGAAACCACACAAAGAAAAGGGCAACACAACCAAAACCGAATGCTAATTTAACATGTAGATACTGCATTACTGGCAACACTTGTATCAGTACTTACATTCAGTAGGTAGCTCCAATAGTCTCCACTTCATTGAGATATGAGGAATGTGATGTTAAATGAAGAAGAATAAGTGATACTGCTGTCAAGTAGAGTAGTCTAGTTAGTGTAGTCATATAAGGGGGGAACAACCCCTAAAGGGACATAATTACCAACAAAGGGGACAAATCTGCAATGTAAAGGCAACTGCACACAAAATGGAGATCACGACATTATGTGTGATGGTTCAATTTTGTTCAGTCCTACCTTCTCAAGAACACTTAGAAAGCAAGCAACATATTATTGCACATCAACATTCATAAACCGTAAAAATACTCAGATTCATGAAAATAGTAGGATCTAAGGTAGAGCAAAATAAAGATTACTTCTGTCATAGCAAAAACTGCAAAATTCACAGAGAACAGTGGCTAACCTGGACCTACTTCAAAAGCACATATATGCTTTCTTGAGTTGCTGCTCCCAATCAACTGTCCTCTCCAGAAGTTATAGTACAGGTACTCCAGTTTTTGGTTAATCCAAAGGCAAGCATTACCTGCACATCTATGCACCACATACATTTAATAGATAACCAAAACTACCATTTTGATTTCAATACTCAATAAGAAAAAGAACACAGACCTTGAAATCCCATGAAGAGGTCACACGTGAGGGAACTGACATACATTTTTTATGGAGTTAGACTCAAAGGACAGTTAGAATAGGGGAAGTCCCCTAATTATGTTTCCACACTATTATTAATCAACCTGCCATCTGTGAAGGACCTCTACCGAGTTCTCCACACTCGGAAATCAAACGAAAGGGAAAAAGAAAGCTTAAATGGGTCGATCATGGACGTCAATGCAGATATAGAACCCAAAATAACAAAACTTCTCACAGTAAATCTGGAAGGTTGAGAAATAGAGTCCTAAAATAGAAGTTCCTCCACCGAATGAATCTTTGACAACAACAAAACTAATTAGATCAAAGTGAAACGGAGGGAAAAACTTCAAATGATGTTTCTGGTTCGCTTGCCCGCTCTGACGACTCTAAAGTTCAGATCGATTGTCAACTCTAAAACACCGAATCGCTATCCGAAATAGCAAACAAAAGCGATGAATCAGAAAGATAAAACAGGACAGATTACCAGGGGGAGAAGGGGAAAAAAAGATAAGGAAAAGACATATAAAATTACCTTCGCCTATGCCTAGGCACTGTCTCAAGAGGATAGGATTACGACGATGTTGCGGACAGTGTCTTACCTCCCCAAATCCCCATCAGCGAATTCGATTATAAAATCTCCAAGACCAGACGTGCTCTTCTGAAATAGGAAAAGAGGGCATGATCACATTCAAGGAAAATCGGGAAAACAATAACCTAAAAATGAAAATCCAAAACATCGAACCTGCTTCTTCCCCAACCCGACCGTCAATCTCTCAAACCCGACAATCAATCAAAACCTGAAACCCAACTCATATATGATTGGGGGATGGGAGGAAAAAGCCAAGGAATTGCCATTCAGTAACCGTAGGGAAAAAGGAAAAAAATGGCAGGGGAAGGAGAAGGAGGGTGGGGGAGAGAGAGACCTGAGTTCACGACGACGGGAGGAAGGTTTCGCAAAGCATTCATCTATTGGTCCAGCAACATTTCGCTGAGATTCCACGATCAACTCAGCTCTCAGAAAAGCCCATCAACTCAAAGGGCAAGAGAATCAGCATGCTCTGGCTTGAGAATCGGCCACACACCATCTTCGGATTTTGCTTCGTCGGAGAGGGATCCTCACAACCGAGGCTTCTTCGTGCGGAACCGTTTGGGCAACAGAAACCAGAGAACATAATTAAGAATATGCATCTAATCATAACAAATGTGAGAGATGAACCAAAACCATCAATATCGACTTATCACCTTCAAATGTCAGGACAAGCAAATTTGGTTTCCTTCCGTCGCCAATCTCGTTCTCCACAATGGATCCTCTTCAACATGGATTTATAACCCAAACCACAGATCTTCAGATTGGTAGCGTTTCGCTGGAATTGATGACCACCTCCGGGGCTTATGAACTCGGTGCCGGTATCTTCTAATAATGCATAGGTTGAGAGTGATGGAGAACGAATTTGTCTAGAAAAAAAAAACATAAGAAACCCACCTTGCGGTTCTGTGTATCCTCCGATTTCTCTCGCCCTCCCAAATTAGCCAATTTATAGAAGAACGAACAGAGTGGAAAGAGCTGAGAAAAAGAGTGGAAAGAGCTGAAGAGACGCTTACCAACTTTGATTACTCCGAGAATCCTCCCCCCTCAAGACTGACGCGAGTTTTCTCTCAACCAGAAAAGGAAAAAACCAAAGAGGGAAAGTGAAAAGTCGAGAAGAGAGTAGAATTAAATAAGAGCGAACCTGGAGGGGAGAGTTTAGAGAAAAGAAGAACGAACAAAATATAGGGATCTCACCCTTCTCTACTTCCCCTCTCTTGCGGAATCCTCCTATGAAAGTTGCCTCTCCTCACCTCTTCGCCCAACCACGGTTCTGAATCCCTGATAACAAACCTAAAATCCAAACACAGAGAAGGTTGTTGAAAAACACACGAAACCTGCAAGATAACAGTCGATAAAGGAGAGAGAGACTTGAGATTCACCTTTCGGCCGCAAACATCTAGCAACTATCCATTATGCAAAATAGTCTCCCCGAACACAGCAGAGTAAACTACATGCAAATATCCATTATGCGACAAACATTTAGCAACTGAAAACTGGAGCTCTTAACCGATAGAAATAGGCTTGAAAAATGTCTCGTCACTGAAGATTTAACACTTCGCACAAGTCAATCATGGGCTTAAATGGCAGATTAAAGGGAACGATTCAAACCTTCGGAGTTCCTCAAGGCATTGAGAACGATCATGTTGGTGTTGTTGGCAAATAAATTATATTATGACCAGTATAGCAACTTCCTCTTTCTTGCGGGCAAAAATACTGAAGCAAGAGCAGCAAGATTGGAAGTTAAAGTACCTCCATCCCACTACAATTTACTGCAGGTTTGATGAAGCATAGTTCCTGGAGAAATGCAATGAAAAAGTTAAGTATCTCCATCCCACTACAATCTAAAAGGCTAGAAACCCATGCTACCATCATATCAGACGCTGCAGAACTTTATATAACAGGCTTTAACAGAATCTGAAAGGCTATAAACCAATGGTAACATACTGCAGAGTCCTGTACAGATGGACCTGACTCGAAGTCGTAAGCTGTAGCCTGAACAAAGTGGATGATATGATAGCTACGAAAGGGCAGTAACGAAAAAGCCCACGCAATGATAGGTAGGTAGTAGTGAGACAGTAGTAAGATATAAAGAACAATTATATCATCGAAATTAGGACAATGAAACAGGAAAGAACAAAGGAAACACCATTCGTGAAATATGAAAGATAAATCTGCAAACCACATGATGCAGCTAGCACAAAGGAACAAAATACAACCTTAAAACCAATATCTGGAACATATAGGCCAGAGGATAAATTTTGAAAATACAATTTCCAGTCTCTGTGTTCATCACATGCAGGTTAGAATAGAAATAATTCCAGAACTGACCATGTTGATATCATCATCAATTTGATTCATTGAAGTACTGAAGTTTGTTCGATCAATCGGTTTGATTGTTTTTCCCAGTAACTACTTTTCGTTTCCAGTACTATAAAGTAAAAAGTTCCATATTTACCTAAGCAAAAGTTTACAATTTTTGGACACCTTCTGCAGCAAAAAATATAATCGGCAAGAAAGTCAATTCAGGATTTTGTTAACGTTATAACAGAGAACTTGATGAGATCCTTTTTTAATCCCTTTTGAATCCTTCTAACATCAATGATATCACCAATGCTCATCCGATAGATTTCATGCTTGTTCCACCATAATCAAATTCCAGGTAAGCTTGAGTTCGATTACCACGAATGACAGACTTCTTTAGATAGACTTACATTTATTTGAGGTGAATCAAACCAATAGCAAAAGGAAAATCAAGGAATAACGATTCGGAGGAGGGAAGTGAAGGCCTTACATGTGAGGGCGGACCGTACAAATGCTGGTTAAAATGGGGTAACATTCTCATATCAATCTGTTGTTCTTATATCCTGCAGGAAAACAAAGCGAGTTGGTTCAACAGCAAAAAAAAGGCGACTCGGTTGGTGGTTGCATTAGGTGAAATCATATGTATATACACACCTGGGGATTGAGGGATTGGAGTAGTTTGACATAATTAGAAGTGGAGCACCATTCACGAAGATAGCTTGCCTAGCAGATTCTAGCAAGGTGATTTTTCTCCCACCTGGTCAAGCATTCATGAGGAGATCCAAGATCTCTGATGCACCATGTCACAATTATTATGGTGGACCCTGGTGGTGCAACTTCAGGCAACTCACCCAAACTGCGAAAACAAATTCCAGTTCCCATATAAATGTCGAGATTTTCCCAACTGAAATCATGAACTGGTTGACCCTAAGAATGCATCATTAAGTGTCGAAAAGGAAACAAAGACCTTGGCTGTATCAGACATATGATCTCCACTCTCCATGGACCAAACCAGATCAAAATCCCCATCTGTGAATGGCTGATCCAAAGCATTCCAACTTGGAAGAATGGTAGAAGAAGTTGACCTGGTCAGCTATATCTTGAGCACCTCCAAGAGCATCGACTCTTTGACAGTGCTCCCCTGTCACT